TACACATATATATATATATATATATATATATATATATATATATATATATATATATATATATATATATATATATATATATATACACACACACACACGTGGACGCCAGAGAAAGACATTTTTAAATGTGACAGTTATTGATTTGATAAAATATTAATTTCATATTTTAATAATTTCGTTTGTTTAATTTTTAATACATGTCCTCTGTAGAAATAGGCTATAGGTTAAAAACTTTTTCATTCTTTTTCATTCATGTACATGTACAACTTATTGTTGCAACCTTATTCGCAATCAGCACCGACTCACATAAAGGACTAAGTTATTGGACAGCTGTCCACTGAGGCGTCCACATTCAATGATTACATGTGGACCTACGAGTCTGACGTTAGGAGGGAGTCTCACCGTAGGTACAGGATCTCTGCAGGTCTGATATGATACGCAGGATGTTGTTCATCAGGTTGGATCTCTGCTCGTTCTCCAGTATGCTGCCTGTAGAGGGGTAGGCCGAGTCGATGTACGTCAGGTCAGAGAGGTACATCCCTAAAGGAAAGCAGGAGACAGAAGGAATGAAGTGATGCATTTAGGAGCAGAGCTTCTTTCAAAGCTGATAGCGTTTAAAGGGCCTTTAATCAATCAGAAGTGGAGCAAAACCATTTCAATTCTATTCATTAAAATAGCAATAATTCACAACACGTCATCTTAACGCTCTTTGCAGAGACAATTAAATCATAGAGTCAAGATTGGTTCAAAGTTTTCTCTCTAAGGGAAAGCAGCTGATTGCATCGACGCACTGACTTTGCAGCATTGGTTCATTCCAGGTGAGCTTGTGGCGACCGGACTCATTCAAGCAGAGCAACCATCAAACCAAGCATGCATGCAGCAACAGTGGAGAGGAAAACCTCCCCTTTAGCAGGAAGAAACCTCCAGCAGAACCAGAACCAGGCTCAGTGTGAGCAACCTTCTGTTGAGGTATGAAACGGGGGAATGGCGCCTATTGGTTAAGGCATTGCGCTTGGAATCCAGAGGTTCTGAGTTAAAGCCCCTCTCCCACAAACCGCCACTCTGGGTCTCTGAGCAAAGACCCTTAAAGGAATAGTACACCCAAAACATGATTAGCCTTCATTTTCTACTCACCCCCATGCTGAACAACACTCTGGAGTACTTTTTTGATATCTCAAATGCATCTGGAGATCTGGGAGGCTTCTTGCTGTCTGCTGACATTCAAATAATGGAGGTCTATGGCGCCCGAGGCAGAAAGGTCCATAAAAGTCCACAAAAAACGTGTCAATATTCCTCCATACTGCTCGTCCAATGTATTCCAAGTGTCCTGAGTGGGTAGCGTCCATAATTTACTCGAAACGAAGTCATTTAGAATGTTTTTAGAGCATAAACAGTAGTGTATAGGATTTCCTAAAAGCGCGTTCACGAGTCTACGGAAACCGCGGCAGACCAAACCAGATGAAAGTGCGCATTCAGCGTCTGCTCTGCCGATAATGCAAGCGTAGAAGAAGAAATGTGCTGTTTACCTGTGCAAAGAAAGAAACAACGAAAGAAAAATGTCTGAGGACTTCAGTGTTGAGGAAGAGCATGAGTTCTTTGCCGAGCTGAATGCGCACTTTCATCTGGTTTGGTCTGCCGCGGTTTCCGTAGACTCGTGAACGCGCTTTCAGGAAATCCTATACACTACTGTTTATGCTCTAAAAACATTCTAAATGACTTTGTTTCGAGTAAATTCTGGACGCTACCCACTCAGGACACTTGGAATACATTGGACGAGCAGTATGGAGGAATATTGACACGTTTTTTGTGGACTTTTATGGACCTTTCTGTCTCGGGCGCCATAGACCTCCATTATTTGAATGTCAGCAGACAGCAAGAAGCCTCCCAGATCTCCAGATGCATTTGAGATATCAAAAAAGTACTCCAGAGTGTTGTTCAGCATGGGGGTGAGTAGAAAATGAAGGCTAATCATGTTTTGGGTGTACTATTCCTTTAACCCCTCACTGCTCCCAGAGCGATGGCAGCCCACTGCTTCCCAAGGGGATGGGTTAAATTTAGTTAATTTTGTTGCTCTGTAATTGTGACAGTGTAATGACAATAAAAGCTGGAAACAATAAAAAATGTGCGGCGCCCACACAGGAAGGTGATTTTGAAGTGAAGGAGCATCTTTCCTCCAGATTAGAAGAAGACCATTTTATCACGAGTGAAATCTAGTGCCAAACATTGTGCCAAAGGAGATATTTGATCATGTTTATGCGTATAGTTAACTTTGAAAGGCTTAAAACCTTCAAATAAGACCAGATTAGACAACATGAAATATACTAGCTTACTAATTCAAGTGTGAGCAGCTTCATTCAGTGGAAGTCCAGCCGTTTCAGACGTTTTCTGCTCCCTGACTGAATCACAGCTCCTCCATCTGACGGCCAATGGCTGTTAAGGACCGACTCCATAAATAAGGACATTAAGGGACAAACCCAGGAGCCGCTTCCCACCGCTCGGACGGATTCATGAGCGATGAGCGCATTTCAGAAGCAGTCTGATCATATTGTCTGTCTTACACACGCTTGTCTTGCTCAATGTTTCTTTCACACGCCAGGGGAGAGATGAAACACAGATGTGCAAAGTTTATCACCGAGCAGATGAGAAGAAAACCTTCAAATGTTTATCCTCCTGGAGAACAGAGCCGTTCTCAGATTCTTGTGTAAACTAATGGCTCAACTCCAGGACAAGAAGGCAAAACAAAGAAGTGCAGCTTTGTTGTGTGCAAAGAAAAGAACACACGTTTTTCTATTATTTTATTTACACAAATGAATCTGGTTTTTTCTTATCAAACTACTGTTAATCTGATAACAGTAAATAAATAGTTCGGTATCATCTCCGTATGAATACAGCCGAAGATTTAAACCCTCAGAGATGATTAACATTCTACAACATCAGCAAAGAATAAAGTTGGGAAATGTAAAGCAGGGTTAGGCTATAAAACAGCATTCCAAGCTAAAGACGTCTGCTAGCGTTCTGTTCAATGCATCATCTGACAATAAGTTGAACTATCCTCAACGAGAACTCAGTGGAGGAGTTGCAGGAACCATTGATGAAAGAGAGACAGTGTAGAAACTAACATTTAGGACAGACTGGAAATGTTAAAAATTTGGATTAATCAGACCAAATGTAAACTTTTTAGGCATCAAATCTAAAAACAATAAAGTGAACAAATCCATCACTCCAATAGTGGACCATGGTGTATAAAAGATTTCACAATTTAATCCATTTCACAACACATGTCATCTCAAGGCTCTTTACAGTTCACCAGAGTTCACAAGTTTTCTATCTAAGGAAAACCAGCTAATTGCATTGACTCATTGAGTCTTCAGCAATCCCTCACACTAAGCATGCTTGTAGCGACAGTGGAGAGGAAAAACTCCCTTTTAACAGGATGAAACCTCCAGCAGAACCAATCGTACTGGGTTGGAGGTTCATCCTCCAGCAGGACGACATTCAGATTCACCCAAAGCTACGAGGAAGATGTTAGAAAAAGCTAAACAGTGCTGTGTTAAAACAGCCTATTTAAAGTAAAGACTAAAATCAAAATAAAATAAAGTAAAGAGAGCCACAAAACAGGGAAACAGGTATTCACAGATACGGTCGTTCTAATCAAACTAAGCTTAAAGTACTTTCATCTCCGCATGGATCCCACATCTTATTGGGTTTTTTGGTGTTTTGTGTTGTTCCTGCATGCTTCCTTTATTGGCTTTTTAACGTTACCACTTGCACACCTGAATATTCCCATATATGGACAGTAAAGGAAATTTCTATTCCATTAAATTCTGCAGAGCATATCTAAAAAAAATAACTAGCAGCTGTAGTGACACTACGGCTGCAACTAACCATTATTTGGTAAATCGATTAATCTATTTTTTTTATTAATCTACTAAAAATTGTATAGCAAAAGATTCCTTAAAGGAGACTTTTTATGAAATTAGAAACAGATGAAACTAAACTTTTCCACTGAATAGAGAATATTGACGGACAGAAATTTTTTTTTTTTTTTAATCTTAAATGTAACTTCTTTATATTTTTTTTTTTTTAAATCTTGGTATAATTACTATAGGTGGGAAGCTCCTTAGGCTAAAGGCATGTTTTAATGTCTCTATAATTTAGTTAATGATTAATTGGTTACTAAATTAGTTGACGATTATTTTTATAATCGATTCATCTGATCACTTGTTTCAGCCCTAAATGACGCCGATAAATTTACGCAAACGTCAAATGCACGCAGCCCTTTTCATTTTTATTTAGAAAACAATATAAAAGATGCATAATATATTTATTTTCAATCTTTCTCTTTTTGGCATGTGCCAATTTGAGTTGGTTCTCACATAAAATTCTATAAAAAAACCAAAAACAAAAGAAATTTGGTTTTAATTCGATAAAATGTAAAAATGTTTAAGGGTTTGCATAATTTCCAGCACTCAGACCTGCATACAGAGCAGAGCCATATGAAATAAACTGAGATAAAGAAATGGTGGGAAAGTGAGAATCAGATTACAGGAACTTGGAGGCTGTAAGGGATGATTAGAGCCACATAGGGGAGGAGGGAAAGATACTTTCTGGAAGCTTAACTGCTGTAGTTGCTTTACTGTGAACATAACAGCCGTTAGTCATGTATAAATCCACACATCAGCGCAGCAGAGTCATGCTCAGGGAACCTGTGGTCAGGAAACATGGTTATAACGCGTTTACACGTGGTGAAAAAAAAAAAGATCCATAAAAGATCAGAGAAATAAAGACGATCATTTCAGCATCCATCTTTCTAGGTCCCAGAAATGCAAATGGCAGAAATGATGAAACAAAACAAGTTGTCAATAAGTTGAGGCAACACTTGTGGCATGCATTCTGCTGCTTTAGCGCCACAAATCAGTTTTATCTGCCTGCTTGTGTCCAGCTGTTGGACAGGAAGGCGCCCGAAGACCCCGGCGGCATAACAAACAAACCCTCTGGTTGCTACAGAAGATGGCTGCTAAACAAGAGCTGCAGCTCAGGACGCAGTTTTTCTTTTAAAACTCCTTTCCTCAAACGAGAAGCATGACTGCTGTTGTTGAGGAGCTGAATGAAGTGGCTGTTTTTCTCCTTTTGGAGTTTCTTCTCCTCAAAGTGACATCAGATGGAGGCTGGGAACCCCCCTCCAAGAAAAAAAAAATAACCATGCAAGAGAGGGAGAAAAAAAAAGCAAATCTCCCACACCCTCTTACCCCTTTCCCCCTCCCTCCCTCCCCCGGACCCTTTGTGAAAAGCTCAAGGCATCAGCGGTTGGACCTCAGTCTGCAGAAGAGGCTGGCTTTTGAACCATGCCCCAGCCTGAGCCCCGGGGCAGAGAGGCGCACCTTTAAGGAAGCAGGGCCCTGAGCTTCAGCCTGGTGCCCCGCTGCTACGTACGGGACAGAGGGAGGGAGGGGGGAGCAGCTCAGACCCCTGGGACAAAGACGGACGGAGACACGAAGAGGGATGATTCCTGAGCGGCTCGACTCCATGAAACCTCAACACAACAGGCGCATTAAACCATAACCGGACCGAACCAGCACCGACCCACCACTGCTGTCAACGCAGGTAAAAGTTGCAGAAGATTCTGCTGGGAATGGTGTGACTGAGTGTGTGTGTGTTTGTGCAGCTGTTACAGCTGTGCGAGACGTTTCGTGACTGGAGGCTCCTGCTGCAGACGCTTAGCAGAGCCGCTTTAGTCTGTGATATCATGTGTGCAGCATCTTTATGAACGCAGCACAGCTAAGGATCCCATCACGGTTTAAAAGGTTCAAAATCTAAAGGACTAAGCCTGAATACAGGCAGCGGGAGGGAGAGGAATGCGATTTAAACACATCCGCCAACACTCACAAAGGATGTCGATAGGATCAGATGGAGAAATCAGACGGCCTGCTGCAGGATTGTTTATTTCTTCACAGTTCATTTTTATCTTTGGTAACCCAGCACCGTCTGAGTGCTGACTCTGAAGTGGAGCAAAAGAGCAGTTTACAAAAGGTTTATATTAACAAAGTACAGATTGGTTTTCAGGACGTCCCATTGTGAGCTGATATAAGGAGAGCCAGCAGCTCATCATTCACTCCCTGTAGATGAGAGATGCTTCAATCACATTGTTTTAAAGACCAACATCAACATGCTGCGTTTTCACACTTTACTGTCATCAAATGTTCCCACATTAATCCGGTCTGCTGTGATGATAGAGCCAGAACTGACCGAGGGACGCGCACACAGCCCTTCAAGAAGAGGCTGAGAAAATATTTCATAACTTCCTCGGTTTTCCCTCGGAGTAATAAATCCTAATAGGAATAACTCCAATAACTCAGGCTGGAGCAGGAGGAGAAAAAGCTAAAAAAGATAAAGAGGAGGTCAGAGGCACAGCCAGAACATTCCGTGCCGGGGCGCAGGAGCCTGGACCTTGAGAGGAAGAAGGAAGGGTGGAGCGGCTCTAAATGGCTCATTAGAACCAAACCAAACATAAACTCACTATCCTCTTAACCTTCCACCTCCTGCTGGACTCCTTTTCTATTTCAAGTTGTGAAAACTTCCTGGATGACGGCAGTCAGGTGGGATGTGGTGGAGCCCATCCAGCTGTGCTGCTGCAGCTGCACGCCGCTACGAAAATCAACATCGGTCTGCAACAATCAGCTGCGGCCTTCGGGTGACAGGCATGCATATAATCACATTTTACCGTTTGTGTGCTCCACAGAAGCATGCTGGATCCACTAAAACCACTAATCTGGCCTTGCAGACCGCATGAGGTCAGGTCCGTCCACAGAACACCGCTAGAAGGCAATCAGCAACTTATGGAAGCTTTAAATTGAACAAAGAGCCAAAAACAACAAGGTTGCAGCACAAACCCTGGAGTCACCCGATGGAGCTCACTCTTAACGAGGGTCTGGACACAGCTGGACGGACAGGTTACAACAGAGAGAGGGGGGTCAGCCAAAGGGGTCGGGGTAAAAACCCAGGAGGCATGTAACTCAGACGAGCCGCTGGACAGGAGAGCTCAGAGCTCACGCAGCTAATTTACGAGCGTCTCTGTTCTGATCCAGCTAATAGGATGCATGTGTTGATCGACGTAAGAGGCAGAAGGTTAGGAGCGACTCAGAGGAGAAATAAAAACGAGTCTGTCTGAGGTTACGATTCGCCTCCTGGATCAGAGAGCTTTAAAGCGTTAAGCCAAACGATACATGGTAACTTTTTTTAATTCTCTCCTGGCTCTCTGCTTTCTCCTCACTGCCCTCCAGAAGAATGAAAGATTTGGTCAAACCAGTCCAAGTTAGAAGCCACCCGTCACCCTGGGTACCGCATCACACAGGACACCGGGGGCTGAAATAAAGAAAGAAATAAAGCAACAGAGAAAGGTGTTTGGATTTAAAGCAGAAGAACAGATATTCAGCAGTGGAGTCTGGCTGCAGTGGGAGAGAAATAACTCAGAGAGGAACCAGCTAATTAATGTCTCAGCCCGGACATGTGACATGTAGAACAAAAACATAAAACATTCATTCGTCTCAGGAAGTAATAAACCAAAACACTATGAGATAAAAAAGTTAAAAACTAATCAAAAGTCTACATTTTCTCTTCAAGCATGTGAGCGTGCAGGTTCTAAAAAGCAACACCCCATAACCCAAAAGTTTTCACGCTAAAATACGACGGACATTAAAACTCTACTCCATTCCACTTATTTATAAATAAAAATACAACGGTATTAAAAATCCAGTCCGCGATTTAGTGCTAACACATAATGACAGGTTTTTTTTATCCAGTCCATATTTTTGCACCAGCCCACCTAATATATTCACTGCACTGACAGCAGCAGGGGTGGGGGGGGTCCCGCACCAGATATTGAAAAATAACCGGGATTTCTGAGCAGTTATTACGAGGAACATCATCTTAATTGCATCGTATTTTTTCTGGACCAAAATAATTCACTTTGTAAGTTAATGAAGATTTTAAGCAATCTAGTATTTCAGTAAATATGAATAAAATATAAAGCATTTAGCTTAAATTATCACTATGGAGACTGAAGTGTAGGATAAAATCAAAAGATCTGTTTTTTTATGTACCTAGTTTTTATTAACTGAGCTTTAATCCTGGTTTGCTCTAGTTTAATCACCTGATTTAGACCCAGTTTTAGTCCATGTTTTGCTCATAAGTTAAATAATTATAGCTCAGTTTAGTTTAATAATCTCCCGTTGGGACTTTGGGACAAATTAAACCAAAACTAAACTACACTAAGTGCTTAAAGCTTTCAGGTATTCCTCACAAACCCATGAGGTCCACAAAAAGAATCACTGCATTTTATTTTTTTAAAGATCAGCCACCCAAGAAAAAGACCAACCACATTCAGAGAGGAGGTGCAGAACAACTCAGTTATCCAGGATTGATGTAAGAGGAACCAGAGGGATGTTCTCAATTTATTATTATTTATCTTATTCATGTATTTTTATTCTGGTCCATTGAATACGTTTAAAAACTTAGTTTCCATTAAATTTACCAAAATTAAACATCAAAAGAAGGGCTGTCTGTCTGTTTTATAGAATCTACAGCCTCTTAGAAGTTTGAATTGTTTACCTGTTTTGTCAATTGTAAAATAAATAAATAAAAACTAAAAAGACACACCTAAGCTCTAAACCAAAGCCCTAAGCCCCCAAAAATGGTAGAACCAGGAAATGGTCCCTAGATTTACATCAAAGTTGAGCTGAAACAATTAATCGGATTAATTGTGGTTAATTGATTATTTAAATAACTGTCAACTAATTCAGTAATCGATTAATCATTAACTGGAGCATAGAGGCTCTAAAACAGGCCTTTAGGTGACAGAACAACCTGCTTAGAGCAGGAATTTTAAGAAAATTGTAAAAAATTACATAAATATCTTTTATTTATGTGAAACTGCTCCATCCAGAAAACCTCAAGGGGAAAAGTTTTAGTTTCACCTGGTTTAATTCTGTAAAAAAAATCTCCTTTGAGGAACCTTTAGCCGTCCAATTATTAATCGATCAATAGAAAAAAAAAAAACAGACAGGTAAATCAATTAAAAATAATCATGAGTTGCAGCCCTACATCAAAGTCCTCCCTTTCGGGGTCAAATGTGTTCTCACTTAGCTGCAGGTAGCAGTAGCAGCAGAGTGACATCACCAATCTGAATAATCAGAGCGTCCAGGACAGAAAGCACCTTAAAGGATGTTGGTTATAAATTAGAAAAGAATCATAATTCTTTCTAGGAAGAAGAAACCCGCCTATTTAGGAGAGAAAGATATCCTCATATGAACCTCAGCCACTGGAGCCCCATAAAGATACCGCAGAACATATTATTATTCCATAGCCGTGCATAAAGAGAAAGAGGGAGACCTGCTTCCCACAAAGACTGATTGAAGGAAAGGAAGGGAGGGTCTCCACGCCAAATCCCACTTATAGACCTCTGACCCCAACATCAGCCCACATCTTTAGAGTCTCTATAGCCAAGAAGCCAACCAGAGGGGGGGAGCAAGAGGAGAAGAAACTTTCTTTAATTCAACATTTAAGTTTTTATTCTAAAATAGAATCGAGGTTAAAACCGTTACGCTCTTTTTTGCAGCCTGTTTTTCTCTAAAGCTTTGTGATGTATAGCGCCTTAAAGACATTCTAAGGACAACAGCTCAGCAATGATCAGTGCCAGGAGGAAGAAACATTTTATTACATTTAAATGTCAAACTGAATCATGCAGCGTAAAGTTTTATAATGTTTGTATATAACTGTTTTAACCTCTGCCTTTTTTTTTTTTTTTTTTTTTACTTTTTACCTTCGCTCTCACACAATATAAAAAACAAAAAACAAGAAGCTGAAGCAGCTTTAATACGATGCAATTAGAAGCAGGATTTCGCTTCCTTTTAGGGCGCCTTTTCAGGAGTTTTCCTTGTTATTCTTCATCAGTCATTGTGTGCTTGTGTTGGTTATTTCCACCCATTAATACTTTTATGAAGTCGGTGGTTTTCTCATGCTGCGTTCCTCTCCAAAGCTGCTCCTCTGCTGTGATTTCCCTCCATCTTTTATTTCAATTCAAACTTCCTTCCTTTTGTAGAACTGTGAAAAACGATCAGTAATGTAGTCAACTCGCTCCTTAGACCAGTAGTGGTGGGGGGTGGCATCATGCACAGATGTTCTGCAGGGGGGACGTTTATATCCAGATGTTCAGACACAGAACACTGAATTATTCCTCCATTGATACCCAATCTTCACCTTTTGCTTATCCAGACATGGTCTTATCTTTTTTTGTTCTTCTTACCCTCTGCAAGCAATAATGAGTGTTTTAGGGTTGTGTTTTTCTCCTTCTTTTATGGCTTGGAGGTGGGAAAGTCTGAGCAGCAGATAGGAGGCAGAGGTGTCTTAGCAGAGTGGATATAAAAATCAGGCTGCAGAGCTGTAAATCTCTGCAGGACATCCCGACACCAGGACTCCCAAAACTATTACAATACAGACAGGATTTTGGAGGAGAAAACATAAATCTTTCTGTGTTTCCACACATAGGGCAGTAAATTAAAAAAATCCAAAAACAACTTGTTAAAAAGGATTTTTTAGGCCGTTTTCTA